TATGATAGAGACACTTTATAACACCACAACACGTGTTCTTGTATTGTTTCTGTATGATAGAGACACTTTGTGTTAACAATCCACATATGGTTTCTTGTTTTTGTATGATAGTGACACATTAAGGCACCACAACACGTGATTTTGTATTGTTTCTGTGTGATACACACACGTCACGATACCACCCCACATGTAGTTTTATTATTTCTGTATAATATAGGTACATTTCACAACTTCACACACACGTGGCTTTGTACTGTTTCTGTATGATACCTAAGGTCATCAAACAATACCTGCTTTTGTACTGTTATTACATTGGCGATTCTATAACTTGTTTGTATTGTCTTTTAAGGATAGATGTAAACATAAGCTTCAAGATGGCACTGTTTCCTGTAGATATTTTGTGTATCTGAAGACGTCAGTGTGGCGTTATTTCGTGTAAAGTTTATATATATATATATAAACTGCCCATAAATTTGCATATTTCACAATACAAATTAGATTTCATAAAAATACATGTACCTCGCCTTTTTTAAACTAATGAGTCCTGCAGGTATTTTAGCAAAAGGTAGGTTCGTAAATGTGTTGTTATTCTGAGAATAATGCCTGTCTTCCTTGTGCAGGTCGAACACCTCCTATTCGGGATGGAAAACGTCGAGTTTCCCATCCACTCATGCCGGTCTACAGAGAAATTGCAATCTTGAAGAAGTTGAATCATCCAAACATAGTGAAATTGATCGAGGTACCCATGTTTTAGCTAACATATTAATTTTAAATCATCACCTGTGCGGTAAGTTAAGCATGACAATAATATTATTTTTACATCATCAACCAAGCAGTCAGTTAAGTATGCCGAGAATATTGAAATTAATTTGTGGATAATACCTCGATTTCATGGCAAAGTGGTTAGGGCACTCGACTCGCAATCTGAAGATCGCGGGTTCGAGTCCCACCAAACATGCTCGCCCCTTTCAGCCGTGGAGGAGGTATAATGTGACGGTCAATCCCACTATTCGTTTGCAAAACAGTAGCCGAAGAGTTGGCGGTGGGTGGTGATGACTAGCTGCTTTCCCTCTAGTCTTACACTGCTAAATTAGGGACGGCTAGCGCAGATAGCTCTCGTGTAGCTTTGCGCGAAATTCAAAAACAAACAAACAAACAAACCTCGATTTCTGACATTTGTGTAGGCCTTTATTATTGCTTTATGTACACAAGCAGTAATCTAGTTATCAAAAGATAGAGCATTTATATTAAAAACGTCTGAGCGGGGGTTGGCCCTGTGGCTAAAATCTGGGCACAAATCCGTGCAATACTATAAAATATTTCTCGCACTTGAAGCTCTGGATGGGCTATAGGGGTGCCATTAAATCCCTTAGCGTGGATGGTGAGTGGAAGGGTGCTGCTGACTGGCTGCCTTCCATTTGGCCAATAGTTCAAAATTAGGGAAGGCAGAAGATAGCTTAAGTTACTTTACCATTAATACAAAATACAAATTAAAAGTCTGTTTTAAAAATCATGGTATTTCTTAAACATGAGGTTGCAAGAAACATTGCATCATGAGCACAAAACGAATATTTCTCGCATTTTATAGCAAGCTTTTCTTTGGATGACTGAATAATTAACAATGATACTAATGATTTATTCCAAGACTACATGAAGAGCTGAATAAACATCTCTCGGTAATAATTTCAGGTTTTGGACGATCCGGATGAAGATAATCTCTACATGGGTAAGTTGTCCTCTTTAAATAATAAAGTAGATTGACTTGGGTAAGTTGTCATCTTCAAATAATAAAGTAGATTGACTTGGGTAAGTTGT